ATTAACAAAACAGGATGAGTGAGTTACAGGTATTAAACAGCAATCCCTAGTCAATCAATTGCTGACGCGCTGCGCTTAGAGATCATTAAGTCTGTGCTGGAGAAACATTTTATCTGCAAACATATTATTTTTAATCGTTGATATTACGTAAAGGATTTTTTACAATTATTCACTAAAAAACGATATATCTTAAGCTTGTAGCTAGAAGGTAAACGTAAGTTGCTTTTCTGTTGGTATGTCAATGAGAAATATGTTGTTTTAATCAATGTGTAATCAGACAATACTTAGAAAACAATCGGTGTATATGAAGCTTAGTTTAACTTGTAAACTTTTTATAATTCGTGAATGTTTACGATTAGTATGTTCTATCAAGGCCATCGTTGTTCACTAAAACATCATGAGTCAATTACAAGTTACGCCAATTTTAAATCCAAACATATAACCACAGGAAACATGATAGAAGCAATATAATACTATGAAAAAACAAGCAGTAGATAGCACTACAACTCCGCTAGTTTGTGTGACATTCTAATTGAGACACAGTGACTTGTAATTGACTTTTGACAAATTTGTCTACAAGACTGGTTGAGATTAAGTTTGAAAAGCTATTCGATTTTCAGTGTACAGTGTATGACATGTATACAATGCGGTATATAATGCGTCTGAGGAACACAAGATGAGTAAGCAAACCGAGAAACATTTCTTAAAGGACGATTCACACAAATCAATGACCTAAAATATGTATCGTGAATGTGTTAAACCTCCATCTAAAATGCAATCTTTGTAAAAGTGTATTTACGGCTTTAGTAGTTATGCAAAGACCCTTTGAACTAGTTCTTTGAAACACCAAGCTCTACTTATTTCTGTATCTCAGCAGCCTTGTCCTTTAAAAGTCGGACCACGAAGTGAATTTTACTTAGGACTGTTTTCTGTTCAACTTCATTTCCTGCTCCTTGTAGAGTTGAAGAAATACTACCCGACGACTGTTTTTGGTTATTCTTATTGAAAAGTGCAATCTTGAAACAAAATTTTCTGTTTGAGCACTGGTGTTGTGATATAGTTATAGGGAGACACTTTTTATTTCTGTAGTTTTCTGGTCAAATTGTGAAATTATGCCCACTGAAAATAGAGATAAGAAAACCTTTCTCACTGGCCCACTGTCATGAGCTGAAGCAATGATACAATTTACCGAGCAAATTTCCCACTGCAAAAAATCCTAATTCTGATCCATTGCCGATGGAGAAAGCTGCAACACTCAGATTTTGGTACCTTGGCTGACGTCATGTTTTGCTTATAAAGCTTAGTATAGAAATAAAGAGGCAAAGAAATGCCCTTACCAAAACCATGATATGTTGTATTGGAATAAAATTGAAAAAAAAAAAACCTAGAGGTCTGATGCTGAATTGAATTATTTCAAGATGTCTGACCAAGAAGTTTCCGGTTGGTCTACTGATGTTTTGACTATGTGAAAATACCATTGTGATCATTAACATTTCAGTCGGACTTTTCAAAGAACTACGTCAACGGAAGTCTGAAGCCGGATGACGTGCAGAACACTACATCCTGTATCCCAGGATTCCTGGGATTCCTGGGATGGTGCAAAATAACCATCACTGTGTGGACACAAGTACGAAGAAAGACAGGCCAATCAGAGATGGGTGTTTGACTTAAGATACAGGACCATGACTGCGTGGACCCATGTAGAAAGACATACCAACAACAGTAACATTTATTTGCAGAGCAAGAGCCTTTAAAAGGTCATCCATCGTTTTTTAAACAGCATCTCTGAGGAAGACCTGTTTTCTCTTAATTTATCTGTGCAAATAACACGTAGAAGTATCCAAATCGAACGCAATATGTCAAACAATGCATGTATCCTTTGTTTGTAGCCAGTTTGGCATGAACAAGGGTTTATCCACCACGAAAAGAGGGCAAGGGTTCCCCTCGTTTTCTCTGTTTTCTCTAAATGGCGCATGAACCAAAATGCCCTTTTTAGCTTGTTATAGTTGAGTTCCGAGGACAAACGACACTGCGCTCGATTGTGTGCTTCCATATTTATTTGAGCAAATAAAATCAGAGAAAGTTTTCTTTAATAGAAAGTTTTCTTTAGAAGTGCTATTTAAAAATCATTTTCACAAAAGTACCAAGGGTATATAGGCCTACTTTCTATTCTCCTCTTGTGACCAACTCTCGATTGCGAGTCCAAACCATGGAGGCCTATCCGCCTCGAGCAGAAGCGCCCCTTATTTGTTGAAACGAGCCATATTGGTCAGGAGTGTTCATTCGTTGGTAGCGATGTGACTGTAACGCGTGCATTTCCTAGTCGTTCGTGGACCAGCGAAGTTCAGTTCCAACAAACGGGGCTTCGGTTGATAAGAAAATTGCGCCCAGTCTCGGCCCAGCTCGAGGCTCCCCGTGAAGCGAGGGGACAATGACGATTTCTGTGCTATGTGTCTTTCTAAATCTTAATATTTCTGATAAGTGTTCAAGATCCCCAAACCCTGTCCCAAGCGTTCAGTTTATACACTCGCAAAAGTGTTGAAAAACACAGATAACACCTCGTCATCAGCGTGCATATGGCTTTATAAAACAGCGCCACCTCGTGCATGGTTTTGGAATACAGCGCCGTCACTGACTCACTTCCGGTAGGAGAAAAACTAATGGCACCCAGAGGCACTTTCGAAGGACTGTCACTTTGAAATCGAAAATGGACGACAATTACAGCAGCACGGTGACCATGTTTCCCACAGACACTACCTATTCTCCAGCCCCAAAGGCGATATACACCTATCCCGAGCTGATCGTCTGTGCCGTCGGTTTCTCCATCCTGGTTTTTGTGACACTCGGCGGTAACAGCATGGTGTTGGTTGCCGTGGCCCGTACCAAGAAACTCCAAACCGCCACCAACGTGTTCGTAGTCAACCTGAGTGTGACTGATTACCTCACGGGCCTCGCTTTTCTGTGGAGCATACCGGGCATGGTGAGTACAACGCCTGGCTACCCGTTGCAGTCAGACGCCCTGTGTGCGGTATGGGCTGCTCTGGTTTATCTTGGTGTAGGTTGTGGTCTGTACACTCTCGCCAACATTGCCCTGAACAGGTGCATTCTGATCACCATGCCCATGCACCACTACCAGTGGCTGTACACACCCAAGAAGATCACCCTGATGGTCTTGGGCTGCTGGCTCGTCCCTCTGTGCGCCATCGTCGTACCTCCATTGTCCGGTGTCGGTAGCCTTGGCTTCGATCCCGACAGTCGAACCTGCACCGATATCGACTCCCACGAGAGAGCTCCTGCATTCGACAAGATCTTGTTCTCGGTGTTCTACCCGTTGCCGCTCGTCGTGGTCGTCGTCTGCTACGTCCTGATCTGGCGGCACGTGCGACGCCACTTTAAGAACTACCGTCAGAGTGTCCGGCAAAGGATGACGACTTCGCCAGCCAAGTCGTCCACCTCGACCTTAGACTTGGACTTGTCCTCAAGTTGTCCTCGTCTGCCGCCGCTCCAACACGCCGAGAGTTCCCGCCAGCTGACCCGCACCAAAAATGAGCAGCTTTCGATCACCAAGAATCTCTTCGTGGTGGTTCTTGCCTTCCTGGTGTGCTTCACGCCGCTGGGTGTGATGGTGGTTATTGATAGCAACCGCTACCAGCTGTACGCTGGAATGGTCCTGTTCGCCAGCGGTAGCATCAACCCTGTCATTTATGCCACCAAGCACCCACACTTCCGGCCGGTGTTGCGCTCAATGCTTCGGGGTCGATGTGTGAAAGAATAACAGAAACTGACCACAACAATCTACCCTCTCTGTTTTACAGCTTGCCCTGCATATTTCTTTTGAACCTTCACTTAAGGAACCTATCTAGTTTGAATTTCTTGAACATTTATCATTTGGCAATCTTATGGCAATCACCAAAGACAAGAACATCAACCAATGATTCCCTTTAAATTGTAAATATAAATTTTGGTCTTTACATCCCATTAGAATAGTGTACTTATCTGTTTCTTTCGTATAATTAAATTATAACTGGTGTATATTTTGTTGCAACCAGGACACCTACAGCTGAATATGTTGTGTACATAATTCAACCTTCAATATTTTATTTTCACACGCCTAAAGTCCTTGAGGAGTAGTTAATGAATGCGCCATGGAACCTTGGCAAGATGAAATCTAGCAAATCTAGTACTTGTACCCAGTAAGGATTGACACACATCAGGAAAGGATGTCCTTGAAATGGAGCTCGGTTCCATGCCAGATGGTTGCTCAACCGCCCTGTTGGTGGGCGCAGCCTTTAAATTTACGTATCAGTTCTACTGACAAAGGGAAGATGAATGTCTGATATGTACATTGTACTTTTAGTTACTATGAGATTTCTTAATGGTTCAATTTTTCTCCTTGGAAGAGTGGAATAATAAGAGCATTTGAAGTGAACAAGTATTCAGGACATTAATTGATTTGACGTACGAAATGTAAGAAAATAAGAAAATAAAAAAGCAGTCTTTGTGTATACACAGGTGCAAGGCCAGGCTTGTTTTCTCTGATTTTTTTCGCCTCGTTTTGGCTCGGGAATTCGTGTCATCCACTGAGGAAAAACTTTGTAACAAATGGGTATTCAGATGGGTACTTGATACTACTATCAGAAGTTGCTTCATTCGGCTTAAGAACGGGCATTGAATTTTACTTTGAGGTGACAGGAATAATAATGTCGGGGCTGCGCTCAGATTTCAGGTTGAAGGACCTTTACTAGCATTTCTACTCCTTTTATCTGCTTCCTGCTTTCTTCAATCAACAATAGCAACATTTTACTTTGCACATCAGGCAGAAATCTTGGAAAATTGTGAGTTCCCTTTGCACTTTTCTCGTCTGTCTGCCGCTCTAGCTATTCCGCTGTTTTCGTATTTTGTACTTTTTTCTGCGAGTGACTGCAAATATCTTGTTCCTCAGCGAAGATGGTTACGTTTTAGCAAGCAATAGGTTTCCCTTAAGCGTTTTGTGAAGTCCAGTGGGATAAGTTAGCCCGTTTCATAATTGCAGGAACTACATTTCTGTCTCCAGGATGGGTGAAATCGGTCAAGTATCACTTGGCTGAATTCCTTATTTATTCTGAGGAAATGGTCAATATGTGCGTATCATTTCCTCCTATCACCCTCAAAACCGGTGGCCTCTCATGAAGTCCAGTAGGTGTTCCAGACACAAGTTTCTTTTTTTCAACTGCTCCATCCCAAAATAACAACCAGAATGGAATCTAAACTTGTATTATTCACTTGCGCCTGTCTGCCCAAACTCCATTTTGACTGTAGAAAACACAAACATTTACTAACCACAAATACTACTTTACTGTTACTGTGTCTAGCGACAACTTTATACAGAGTGTCATTGGTAAGGCGTTTTGCAACTGGGGTCAAGAAAACAGGAGAAACTGTGCCTTACATGTACTCTTAATACAAGGACTGAAAGTATTTATTACGCCAACGCAAACTGGCCCACGAAACGAAGAATCTTATTGGGTATTGAGCTGCGTTGGCGTTTGTAGTGAACCAACAAGGAGCCACTGAGAGCAGAGCTTAGGTAGCATGAAGGTTCGGTGGCTTTGAAAGGGAACGTGGTATTTAAAGAGTAACAATACAGGTCGGGTGGAAGTATGAAAAGGTTTTGTCCACGGTCCAGTGCATCGGGTGTCTCCTATAGGTAGACATATACAAGGCAAGCTGTACCTGTCAGGCAGCTTGGGTTGAATTCACTGAAAGGTATTATTGGGATTTTCTCCTTGGCTTTGCTTGTTTTCGTGTAGGTGGATTTGGTGATAGAGAGTCAAACTGCTGTACTATCCAACCCCTATAGCCTGTCACCGGGGTAGCAGAGACTGTCGCCAGTCGGAGAACGTGGTATGCAGGTCGGTGTAGCCGCCGACCTTGGGGTTTGTAGAAACCTGTGAATTCCCACGATCGGAGAGAATTGGCAGGAATCGGCTTCGCGTCATCGGAACACCTCACAATGCTCGGGAGATCAGGAGTACTCCAAGCCTTGCCTCTGACGGATTTCATAAGTTTTGTTCAGGATTCTCCGTTCTGTGGATTATAAACGCAAAGTTCTCTATTCTGTGTGGATTGTTTGTGTATTCTGCTCCAGATCCCTTCGTCTGGTATTCCTTCATTTATATTTGCAGTCCGCTCTGTATTCCGTCTTGCGTAAAGTGGTATCGCCTATGTCTGCCAGGTGACTAAGGAACTTAACTTGGTGAGTTGTTATTGGGTAATATTGAAATTGCAAATGTAAGTGGCATATACTGTCCTTCTTCATGTGTTTATTGTTTTGAGTCCCAGACTAAAAGGTTGTTGAGCATATAAGATAAGCGCAGAGGAAATGACCAGTCGAACAGTGCTTAAATATTGGGTAACTAACGTGCGATAGCTAGCATAATACAAGGATTCAATCTCATTCGCTTCACAAGTCATGCTATCACTACCTCTGCATGACCAACTCTTTAAAAGGTTGACATTCTTAACCTTAACCCTCCTCAATCCTCCAACAGGTGAAGGATTCAGGAGGGTTAGGGTTAAGCTCATGCCTAGTCTTCAGACTTGGACCATTTGGTACTCTGTGTGAATTGACTATTTCATGTTTTCTGCAGTGGAATAAGATGTCGTTGGAACAGGGTGCGGTATATTGTTAAATTAAGCGTAACAAGTTTTCCTAACTAGATACTAGAGGTGGAAGTTTTCAAAACATACGCGCGTACTTACTAACAAGACTACGAAACATTACAACGAACGACGAGTCCGTATTAAGCTGAATATCCCCAAATACGCTTACCATTTGTTTAATTTGAATGGCCGTATTGATCTTGCTATGGAAAGATTATTCAGCCTGCTGGGAGTAGTTTTCTCGAAGTAAGTGTAGTCTGGAATACCAAGATGATATAAACAGAAAATATACCAGTGTTTACAATAAATGGGAAGGACGAGGGAAGAAGGTGCCATCCATTTTGGTTTTCTCCAAAATCCCGAATTAATAATCGTCAGCTTTTAGTTTTACTTTCATAGACTGGTCGAAGTTAGAAGGGCAAAGAGTGACTAAAGAGTGGCGGTACCTAGACCAAGAATTTTCTGCAGAAATGATATATAGAAATGAAGACGTGGCTCTCGAGGTCATTTTGTAACCGACCATGTGTGAAATCAAACATTCATGAATCGGTGTTTTGTGGGCTAGTCTATTTTTCTTATACTGTAACTCTTTTTCTGATACAGTTTTCTTTCTATTGCGATTTCTTTATTCTCTCCACCAGTCGCTTTCGCCGTGTTTGTTTTCAGATTACCGATAGTAGAATGTCAAATAACTGCACTTCAGCAGTTATTTGGACATTTCGTTTCAAATTTTCATTAGCATTTTCCAGAAACACAAGCTTGCAAAGACACTGTCCAGCAGTGCCAGCCTATGCAGGAAAAAGCAACTTTGTGAAGGTTTAATAGTCAGATTACACAACTCCACATGTGCTCTTGTCTTGCCTTTTATTGTTCTCGTCAATGGAATGCAAAGGGGCCGCTTTTGCAGGTAACCGTAGAGATGATGTAATCAATTCCACTGCTCATTTGCAATTGGGTATTTTATGTTGCTGGCTTTGCTGTAAAGCAACAGTGGAAATAAAGAGAGAATGTTGTTTAAATAAAAGTGTTCCTTTCTGTGACAAGCAATGTGACTGTTGAGTGCTTAACATACCATTGCACGTCGAGAAAGAAAAAAAAGCATCCAGCGTTTGTAGCTGTCGTCGTCAGAGCATGGTTAGAGGTACTTCAGCATTTAACTGCCTCTGTTGGGGGATTACGCCAGACTGCTCTTGATAAACAAACTACCGAGGTCGTCGACTTTCATTTTTTCCCTCCGCAAACTGCTTCTTGGGTGTGTGCGCACGAAAGGTCGGCTCAAGCCGAACTCTGCATTTTCTCACAGTTAGTCAACGAGGGGGCAACTCGAATCAGTAGAAATGATGATCACAAAACCTACTTAATCGAAATAAATCATACGCCGAAATGGGGGCAGTGATTTTTGACAGCTCGGTTCCCACCGAAAATTATTCTCCGAAAAGTGATGAGATTTTGAGGCTATGAACTGAACATTTATTATTTCTATTTTACGGGGAGACGGTATGCTAGTTTAATTTTTTCACACACATGTATACATGTAGGATTGATTTTCGTCCCCACGTGAACCTCAGGTTTTGATCAAATAGAATTGGATTTTTGACGAAGATGGTTCTGAGTACAAGTCCACTCTTAAGCGGTCATTGATACCTTAGATCAAGATAGTTTAAGTAAACTTTAAGTAAAACGACTATCTGTTAAAGGACTAAAATACTTTTCAAGTAATTTTCAATATTTGCCATTGAATTCGACAGGACCTTAATTAAAACTAAACACCCATAAACATGGTACGCATTAGCGGAATACACTATTGAACGCCTGTATACCTTCAGTGTACTAGCACAATGCAGGAGATGTGCTACTAGTCTTACGCAGTAACTCTGAGAACGCGTGCCTCCTGTCTTACGCACGCGGCAGGTTTAGAATTGCTTCCGGGCTTACGCACTGCCTGCTGGGGCAACAGAATCTACTGGTGTTACGCAGGGTTCGATAGTAAGGTGACATCTCTAGCCATTGAATGTTATTACCAGTAACTCAATGCTCGTGCCCAAGATACAGTAGGTATTAAATGACCGCTGTAATTTAGACTCACTGAGCAATAATGAGGTAAAGACAAGGTATTTTGAGAAAGGATTTACAAAAACACGATTTTGTTTATTTTTGGCGTACCATTTCAAAGGGAGCAAAGCAACGCAATATTATATTTGAATCCAATCCGTTCAATTAAATATAAGTAAAATCACGGCGATGATTTTAAAAGAATGAATAAGACTTAGGATATTCTGATCAGCTTTGAACCTAGGGGTTATGGAGGTATCACCAACACAATTGAAGTGATATTTTGAGACCTTAACTACATTTTTCAGTGGCTTTATTCTGTTGAGTTTCATGACCATAAAAAGAGAACCATTGCATTTCTGGCATAAATCTATCTTGATTGTGCAGAGAAGCACCTTTCAGACCCTGAAATATTTCACAGAAAGCTACTGACACAAAAGAATTCCCTTTTCTAATTCCTCTCTTTTTACAATAGAAATGCATATCTAGTTGTGAGCTTTCATTTGACTAAAAACAATACATGCCAACTCTGCCATACACAGGCATGGCATAGATACTTCTCTTCAGGGATCTTTCATTCATTTTTAGGACGGCAAACTTTACGAGCCATGTTGGAGCACAATCAGGTAGTAGGCCTAGGTCTATTGACTTTGACAGATCTCTGAAGGGGTCACAATAGCTTTGTTCAAATTGAGGGCAACCCAAGCTTGGTCCTTTAATTCACATCTGTGTCAGTTTTGAAATCCGTAGCGTTATATCCCATGTCGACCTCGAGTGAGGCGTCATTCAGCAAGCGGGTATCGAAGATCACAGTCGGGTTAACTGCTTCGAACTTCTGCCATAAAGTTTCCTAACAGCAAACCGCGTCCTTATCCTCTGCCTCACTGGGGGAGACGGACTTTTCGTACAAACACAACAGCCACTGTGACAATCCCTTGTTCTTTAAATCATTATTGGCTGCCAAGCCTCACACACCAAGTAGTCTCTGGGATCCGGAATCCTGCTGGATCCTGACCTCCTTGAGAACCTCCTGGTGGATTTGGAAGGATATCATAAGGGATTACAAATCGACAAGAAGCGTACTGTCGGATGCCTGCACTTGTACACATGTAATTGTTTACGAGAACCGAGCCATTTCGAAATGTGTCAATTAAAGGCTTGTATTGAAGCACACATAAGGGGTGCAGGTTTATAATATTTCCCTGGTAATCGGTTCGCTGAATTTGAAAAGTAGTTTGCTTTGAGCAAAATCAGGGTTGGTCAGTAAAAATGAATGCATCGCATTCCTGGCCGGGTGTGAATGTAGCAACGTTATGGTGGCATTCCGACTTAAGGGGTTTCAGTGAATTCGCTGCACGGTGCTTTCTTTGAGTGATTTTGGACAGTTTCAAAAGATTTGAAATATTTCCATTTTTTGGGGTCGATATATCTCGATTCTAGTGCCGTTGTGTTGGCCAGTGTTCTTTTTCAAGCATGTAGGAATAACACCGCGCCTTAACTGTCCTTCGTAACCGAGGGCTTGGCTAAAATCTAACTTCATCAATGAACTGCGATTGTGATGCAAATATACTTCTACTACAAAACATTTGCTTTATTGTTAAGAGTTTTGAGATTTACCCTCCAAACTGACGGTAAAACCATGCTATGTTGTCAACCTAACGAGAAATCTTCTCAAAATGCCATGAAAACTGAAATTTTAGCAAGTTACCGTCTGAAACCTTGTCATTATGACAAGCTTGGGAGTATTTTTCCTGTGAAATGGCAGATTATTATGGCTTTTATACACCAGTTCTTTAGTTAATCGAATTCTTGATGGAAATATGGACGAGAGAGCACGTTACATCCTCGTGAAAATTTCCGGTTTGGAGGAAAACTTCGGGAAGTTTCCAGACTTTTGACCTTAAAAGCGACCAAGTTTGAAACTGGCGTAGTGAGTAACAGCCTACATTAAAGAGCGTGACTAACAATGAAAATAGAGCGAACTGACACATACTAGTACAAATTGAATTTTGTTATGTTAACAAAATCGATGAACAAGAAGAACAATCAGGAATTTCTCACAAAAGGTCGTAGCACTGATTTTTTTTCCCAGGCATGAGTTGTCTAAACATTTTCTGGTACCGGTCTTTGTCCTTTCGGCATTGTGCCAAGTACGATGACGAGGAGCGGGTGCTTTTCTCGAATAATTGTTCTCTGAAAAGAAACTGGCAGGGTGTAACTTCCCTGACAATGGAGTCAAGGTTGTAGAGAGTTTTATGACATTCATGGCGCGTCTGTCGCGTTCACCGTTGGCAACTCGGAAACATAATACAACCCTTCATTTCTGTCGGCCATTTTGTTTCCGTAAAACAAGTATTTCCTTCTGGACATTCAGTTGTTGTGTCAATATCCAAAGTTCGAACCACTTTTATTGTACCTACAACTGTAGATAACCATTTGGCATGTAATGCGGGCTTTTCACAATAGTGTGCCTCCATGAGTTTGCAACGCGTTGGCCAATAACAATTTCCGAAATCTGTCGACTCAATGCGGGCTTGGAAAGGATCGACAGATTTCGTGCGTTGGATTGGCCAACGCCTTGCAAACTCTTAGGAGAGGCACTATTGTGAATCGCGCGTATTCAAAAAGTATCCTGATCATTTCAGAGTGTGCTTCCCCTTTGGCCAACTACTTTTACTTCGGTTTCTTTGATCGGGTAACTGATTTCTTGAAGACAAAGGATAGACTACCGACCTGCCCTCATTAGAAACCGAACACCTTCAGTAAATGACTTGTCTACAAAACACCTGTCACAAAAACAATTCAAAGCAAAGAAACGATTGTACTGGTGAAAATGGCGATGCGGTGCCCCTTTTCTTCTCTGCTCATAATCTGATGTAAGAATTGAACTGTTCTATTACCAACTAAATTGAAATAACGGCCACATTTTTTTGTATTTTTCTCGTACAGTTGGATGGTATAATCTGCCATCATGCCAGCGGGTCCACTACGCAGCCAACTACTATGGCTACTAGCAGCAACATCTCTTGCCATTCTCACTCTAGTCACGGCTCAAACAGATCGTAAGATGTCTATCCTGTCTAGCTTCAGTATTTTGGTGATAAACCAATCCCATTTGTTGTCAAAAACAACAACAATAACAAACAAACAAAAAACTACACCCCCACAAAAAAATCTGATCACGTGACAACTGTGAGGTCTTGTTTAGCGGGTTTACACGCAAGATAGATTAATTTTTATTGGTAAATCGGCACAGATTTTGCAGGCTTGATTCAGCTTGCGGAATTAATGGTCTACAGTTTCATGAGGAAGACGAACTGATATATTGGTATTAAAACGATAAGTACTTACTATAACGCTCATATTTAACAATTAAATCCTTAATCTCCTAGTCACATCAAATTTTGGAATTTGCTGAGGTTTAAAAATTTGTTTACTCTCTTTTACGAATTGCAATGAACCAACTTCACTCTCTTCACTAAACGCTGTGAAACCCCTTATCCCAAAATTTCCAATCGTGGGACATGGTCTTTTTAATACCCAGACGACGCATGGCACTCGAAGTCAAGCCAAGGGCACCATGCGTATCCCAAATGGGTGAAAAAGAGAAAAATAATACTCCGTAGGAAAATTTCACCAGGTGCTGACACCTGGTTGGTTTATAAGCAAAGGTGGGATTCAAACCAGTTTCCTAGAAGCAGTAAGGAAGTACCGTTTCTCTGCCATAGGCGTAGATTTGATCAAAAAAGGGGCGTGGGTTGGCAATGAAACCAGTTAAGTCGATTGTGAAGAAAGTAGACAGTCCTATTAATGACATTTCAACGAATCACGAGCAGTGATTCTTTATTCACGGAACTAGATATTGTTTCTTACCCCCACAGTTGTGTTGCCACAACCGAAGTCTAGGTACAGTTACAGTTCCAGCCCGTATTTAGGTTCAAATTTAACGCAGGCAATTCAGCCGTGAAAAAGGTTCGCAAGGTCTCTGGCACACAAGTATAGCCCACTTTGTTTCCACCGACAGCTTGCCAGCAACAGCCGTGCGTCAACGGTAGCCTATGCCGCCAAGCGTACCTTTCACCGGGTTACATTTGTGAGTGCAGCGGCGACTGGCAGGGCCAGAACTGTGATCGGAGATTCCCGGGAACATCAGAGACTATGCGTGAGTTTCTAGTTTTATTTTGAGTTTATAAATTGTTCTCCCTCTTTCTATGCTGGCTTCTGTATTTTTCGTAAAGACTTGTTTTATACAGTTGCGCTTTTGTCTAAAACGCCTCGAGAAACTATCGCCGGGCATCTTGACAGAAGAATTCACTGCAAGTTAACACAGTAAAATAATAGAATACCACTGTACTAAATGAAACGAACATCCTTATAGTTTGAATGGGACAAATGTGGCCTTATTTCTGCAAAATTTTGGCAGTCCATATAAACAGGCAGCAATGTTTTGAATGAAAAGATCTAAGGCCTACATGTATTGCGTTTTACATATTTATTTGGTTTGCTTTGCCCAGTTCCTGGTTTAGTACATCGTGTGGTGTTTCAAACTTTTATTTCTATTTATAGCCAAACAGTGCGGAACCAATTTCTACACCAATTCGGGGACCATTGTATCTCCTAATTTTCCGCAACCAGAGCCTCACAATCAAGATTGCTACTACCTTGTCCGAATTCCCTCGGCTTTGTCCATCAATTTGCGCTTCAACACCTTCGTCTCTGAGCCCAATAAGGACGAGCTGTACATCTTCCCGGGCACTGAAGTGAATTTCAACTTGCCAGGCGTTCGGTAAGTATGGCAGCCTGAGAATTGACATGGTTTCCCGGTATCAACATTCTCATGTACCAAATATAATCCCTGTAGATAATTCAAACGTAGGCACTGACATTTGAACCTCTGTCTTAAACTTGAGGCGTGTAAAAACGAACACAATTTTTAAAAATAGCAGCAGGGAGTCTACAGTGCAGGGCAAGTCACAAGCAAGGATAAAACAGCAACCTCATTTGCCAATTTTGCTTATTTTTGTGCTTATTTTTGAGCCTTCCAGCGCGACGAGAGAAAATTGATTTGTTTTCCTTGGTGCCGCTTTAATTGGCGCTGGCAGCACTACCAATATCCACACAGTTTTTAAAGCAACATACAGATAAACCGTCACTCGATTTGTTTTTCTCTTTAGATTTCGTCTGGGTATTTTGAGGTTGTTAACGTTGCAATTTTTTTTTTAGAAGTTTCAGTCTAAGAACTGAACAAAATATTTTGAACGATTAAGTGTAATTTCGGAATTTAATTATATCCACAACACCAGCCGAAGAAAATTCTACGGCTGGGGTCGGATACAAATCTTCTACAACCTGTTGACTCGCTTAGGCTCTCTATTTTAAAAGACATAATTGTGTATGTGTGTCATGTATAGTCCTTGTATTTTGGGCTTTTGTTAATGTGCCTTTTTTCACGTGACTGCAGGGAATACAACGGGACATTGTCTCCACAATTCCCAGCTCAGGTTTTCAACACCAACCAGCTGGTTTTGTACTGGCTCACGGATTTTAACATCAACAGTCCGGGATTCTCCATCGCGTATGACATCGGTAAGACCGCTCTTGAGTCGCTCGCACATTCAGTCCAGTTTATAGAGTTTGGTATGAGCAACGCTGTGCTGATAACCACTTCCTCCTCGTACCCATTATTTCGCTCAAAGGCAGTAAAATTCTTAGAGCTCTCATTGGATAAATTTTGAATGACGACCTTGGGTAGATACTTCCATCGTGCGCGCGTGCGATCGATCTGCCGGAATGTCGAATGTCATGTTTCATCTCTTGGGGGCGCTATTGATATAAGCATTGTGAACATACTGGACGACATGGAAACTCTCTTTTTCGAGTGGTGTGTGCAGGCACGTGGCAACTAATGTTTAAAAAAATACTTTGGAAAGTCGTCCAAGAGGTAATTGGGCGTAATTTCTGGAAAGACCGATCTAACTGACATTACTAACTACTTATAATATAATTCCCGGAAAAATTCGACCATAACGGACGCCACTAGCCAACTTTACATCAATGATGTAGGCCTACATGTATGCCTCGGCTCAGCCGAAGCACCAGCCCCCTGGCTTGAAGGCGTTGAGCGTGCCAAAGTGCCAGTACTTAAAGCTACCTGTCATTGTCTTGTCTAGATCCGGACCCATGCTGGATGAATCCATGTCAGAATGGGGGAACATGTACCACGCTGGCCATGGGGCAGGGCTACTCCTGTGCATGTCTGCAGGACTTCAGTGGAGACGACTGCCAAATAGGTAATAGGCTAGTCAATAAACTGGGCCGGTTAAGAAAGAAGCCATTAAATGACTTGAGCAGGAGGTCACCTTGCTGGCTGGGGTTGTTAGAGGAATTAGTATTATCACCCCAACATTTGAAGTGAAGTTTTCACAAGTTTTTGTTCAATATTTTTAAACAAATCCAACTAATCTGAAATTTTCTTCAGGAAATTTCAAAAGAAATTTGCACATTTTGAAAAAGACACCCTCAAAATTTACATTATTTTCCAAAATTCTTTATCAACTTTTCTCCCACTCTATGACTGTGCCACTTTGCATGCAAAATGAAAATTGTTGAATGTAAACCCTGTTTGAATAGAGATAATCCTTTGCCATATTGCTGATTTTTCCTTAGGCACAGTTATTGTATCTCAGACAACTATCAGCGTCATCATAGGGAGCACCCTCGCTGAGGGCAGGGTCAGTCATCCCTTGACCTTTGACCTGACTTTTTCCCCCGGCACCACCCTCTTCAGCCTGACTGGCACCGGGCTGTGGAGTGTCACGCTGTTTCTGACGGACGGCGCAAACAACAGGGTGGTGACACAGGTACATGTATGACATTTCAAAGTTCCGGTGGACCCAAGTTGTTATTCTCAAGAGGGACAACCCTCTTCATGGATAAAATTTCTATCGCGCACCAATGCCAAAGTGCCTTCCAGCATAGACAGTATATTTTTGTGCACATTCAGTTGAAAAGTTGTTAACTTCTGAGCTGGCCTTGATATATACAGGTATTGCTTGTTTCTGGCCCTTTTTGTCTCTGACTTGTCTTTTTATTATTTGCTCATTTATTTTCTAGAACATTCCGCTGACCAGCCAGCAAAACAGTGTGTCATGGCAACCTCCCTCATCCTCAATCATACGCACGATACAGGCCATCATCAACCTCAACACGTTGGCCTGCCCACAGATGCGTTCTGTCTGTGCCATGATTGGTCAGGGGAGTAACCCAACTCCACCCTTCTCAATGCGGGGCACCCCTAACGAGAACGCGCTGATTGGCTGCACGCCAGTGCAGTGCCGAGGTAAGTCTGTGACGGTGGCTAAGCTGCAACCTGCTCCTAAGCTTGACCGCAGGCCATATGAATCAGAAACAGTTACTTAACATTCATGAAGGGCACCGCCAGTATCCAAGAACCTGTCTTTGGAATTGTATGCTTAGTAAACTTGTGCTTGTATGAAAAACATTAGGACTCTTTCATTGAGGAAAAAGTGATAGTATTTTTTTTGTTGTTACAGTGGATCTTGCTTTAAGAAAGGGCTGAGAAAAATCTTCATTTGATTTCTTTTTTTCCAGGGGTGGAAGTGACCAGTGTCCAATTTGACAACACCTTGCGCACACTGCGAGAGGGTGTGAGCACTCAGAGCCTACAGTTCAGCTTGACTATGTCCACTGATCCCCAGGGTGGGACAGTCTCGGGGTCCAACCTCTGGAAGATCACTGTGTTTGGCAGCAACCAGGCCAATGGTCAAGGCTCACAGGTGCTGACCTCTCAGCTGTCCCTCAGTCCGTCGCAGGCTGGCGCTGGCGTAGTTGCTGGAACAGTCCGGTTCTTCAACCTCCAGACCAGCCTGAGCCTGGCTGGGATTGTCTGTCCCCAAGTGCGCTTTTTCTGTGTCCGTGTGGAGAAAAGCAACAGCCCTACACCCCAGTTTACGCTGAGCGGTGTGCCATCAGATGCTGTGCTGACGGCTTGTCAGGCAACAACATGCAGAGGTATGCTCTCACTTCCTGAAAACTCTGGATCATCAAAATGTTAACATCTGCCAAGTCCATTGTCAAAAACAAGCTTTACATTTGTACTCATTTTGTTGAATATTGTACACATTTTGCCAAAAGCTGGTTTTACAAAGAGATGGGCTGTCATCAGATCTTATGATTTGGCCCTTTACAGTCTCTTCATGGAATCCTTTGGCCCTGTCTACTCTAGACACGTTTGCCAGGAGCCTTCCCAAATCTTCCAAAAACCAGTGTGTAGAAAAAACAGTGTCACACACTTGGCATATCAGCTTTCACAGAGCATCTAGGCCCATGGAAAGTAATAGTGGACAGACTATACCTTCCTCAATCCTACAAAATCTTCCAAAAACCTACTGATTGAGTTTGGAAGAATGTGGAGGGTCGGGGTCTATTACATACAGGAATTTTGATACTCAGTTCATGGAAATTCTGTCATGCAGTTCCTGTTCTGTTTTTGCTTTTATCACAGGAGTTCAAGTGACAGGTACAACGGTTTCCATATCCTCGGGGACGCCTCTGATTGAACGACGTTCCAACAGTGTGGCCTTTAGCCTGTCCATTCAGACTGACCCCAACGGGGGCAGTGTAAACGGACAAAACCTCTTCAGCATTCAGACATTTGGTAGTAACAGCCTGACGGGTACCAGCATCAGGATCTCGGAGCGTCAGATCCAAGTAGGAACCTTGGGGCACCAGTTATCAATTACGTCCCTTGCCAAGTCTGACAAGACATTTGAATTAGAAATTTCAGCTGATGTAAAGTATTTGGTGACAAAAATGTCCAAAAGGTCTCTGGTGTGCGAACCTGTTCTTTTTTTCAGGGGAACACCGGAATTACAGCTGGTCGCTTGGCAACCATACCCAACCTGTCAACAACAGTGAATCTCAACGGCCAACTTTGTCAGCAGATCAATGCGCTGTGCACTGTGCTGTCCAAGAGCACACAGGCCAACCCAGACTTCACGTTGGACCCTGTGCCGAGCAGCGCCGTGTTACAAGAATGTGTCAGCATCGAATGTAGAGGTGAGTCTTAACTGGTGAACTTTGAAGGATGTTCTTAACTGGTAACAATTTCCACTGTTCCTTAGAGGCATCACCAAAGCACTTTTCCGAATTTTATGTCTTTTGCAGGGAATTTTGCCCTAGTTACATTGAGTGGAACTTTAATATTGGCAGTGTAAAAAATTACTGTGACATCAAAATATGGGTTTGCATTCACTTCAACACAGAATATAATCCAACCTGAAATATATGTTGCCTTTTTGTTTCCTCCAATCCCTCTAGGGGTTTATATTCAGACCATGAATGTTGTTCTCACCGGTGGGGGGCTGATCCTCTTCGGTAACCGTAACCAACTGTTGACCTTTAACCTCGGGGTTCAGGCGGGCTCGCCTAGCGCCAGCATCGCTGGGTCTGGCCTCTGGCGGCTGTTTGTCTATGCCAACAACCGGCTAGACGGGACCGGTCCACGGATTGGTCAAGTTGGAGTCATGCTGACCTCTGGCCAACAGAACTCCGGGATCAGCGCCAACCAGCTGGTCAATTTCAACAACTTACAGGTGAGCCAGGGTGAAGTTTTTTTCTATTCTCGAAGGAAAATGCGATTAATGAAATTCCTCAGGCGTGATCAACTTCAGCTTTTGGGATGTGCCTCTCTGAGTATCAAGATCATGCAGAACAAAATAAAAGATAACTTGGGTTGAGATTTTATTATGATGAGATTTTAGCAAACTTTTGCTGTCACAGATTTAAAGACCGTAAAATATATTCAAAATTGCAAACTGAACATTTCACCTCCAAGAATGAAAACAAAGGACTCACGGAAGTTCAACTGTGGATTGTGACAACAAACATTTCTTTGAATGGACAGGTGACAATGGATTTGAGTTCAGTAACGAGCTGTGCCAATATCATCTACCTGTGTGTGGAACTACAGAAGGGGCTGACGTCAATCCCTGATTTTACTCTGGAGGGCAGCACAGTACGATGCTTGCAGGTGCAGTGTGCAAGTAAGTCACGCAATGACTAGTCAGCCTCACTTGGGTAATATATTGGGTCAGGATCTTTGCTTCTGAAGACCTCAGTGCTAAGAAATGAAGCCCTCTGTTCAATTCAATGTGAAAAACGTGAATTGGTTTGACTGTTTCAGCAAAGTAATGTATGGTCTGGGTGGGATAGCATCATTCAACGTATTCAGCTGTCTGGCTGGACTGAAGAGCGCCATCTGTAGTTTGTGCAAAGAGTCAGTAAGAAGTGATTGTTGGTTTGTGTTCACTTGTGCCTATCACCTTTGAGTCCAATGTTGTTGTGGTTTGAGTACTTATTATATGAAAATGCTCTCATGATTGCCCACTAGTGCACAGAATACAACTGTACCAGTTGTACCCATGATGCTTTGGGACATCTGCACTTCCCTCACATACTTTTGTTGCTGGATCTGATACAAGCAAATCTTTTTAAATGATCTCTGACTTAAACATTTATCTCAGATGACAGCAGGAACTTTTCATGCCTTGGGGGTTTTATTTGTGTCCCTTACATGAACCTACAGTGTTCAATCCTTGCCAATCTAACCCGTGCCGGAATGGAGCAACCTGTAACAATGTTGGCGGAGCATACACCTGCAGCTGTAGTAATGGGTGGACTGGTCCACTGTGCTCAGATGGTGAGTTTTGCTGACATGTATGTTTGAGGGTCAACACTTCATCAGTTTTTGGTGTGCAGAACTTTGCAGCACATTTTTTGTGGGCCTATTTTTCAACAGCATTTCCAACTTCTTCAGCCACATTTCAGATTTCCCTTCAGCACTAAAAAGTAAAGATATGCGATTTAAATTTAAGAAGAATAAACTGGTCCAGTTCCATCTTTTTGAGGAGTTTGTACCATAGTCCAGCAGCTTTAGACTGGATGTGCTCTGATTTGACTCCCCTGCTAAGAATGAAATATCTGTTGAAATTTTGGTGAATCTCACCACGTGCGTATAATTTTGTCAAGCTGAAGTACTAATTTGAAAGTTGTACATGTCTTCATGCCTTTCAGCTGTGAATGCTTGCATGGGTATCGTCTGCCAAAATGGTGGCACCTGCATCAACAGGCAGTTCTCCTTTGAGTGTCAGTGTTTGTTAGGTTGGAGGGGAACGCTGTGTGAGGTGGTAGACGTTGGTAAGAAATCGTAAAGAAATTTGGAAGATTTAGTTTTTATTTTTTGTTTAGTTTGTTGGGCGGTTGTCTCGCAGACTATTTAATTGGCCAAATGGTCTATTGGTCATTCAGCTTGCTCAGTTTTTGTCCATTGATTTGTCTGTGTGTTTTATCGCTTCCTATCTTGGTCAAGTACCTGCAGTTGGGTTCTCATTTTGACTGCTAAAAACAAACTTGGGTTCAGAGGCCACAAACAATGAAATGAAGTCCTTCTGGGAACAATTGTCGATTTGTTGACATTGTTGGATAATTGAAAAATTCCTTGTTTGTTTTGGCAGGTGTCCAGATTATCACCACCAGTCTGAGTGTAACGTTGGGTACCATCCGAGAGTACACCGCTCAGAATACCCTCACGCTGTCCGTCACCCTGACTAACAGTCAAACGGGGAGCTCATTAGCAGCTGGAAGTGGTTACTGGCAGGTACGACAAAGTCTACTTTGATAATGCAATCTAAAATCATAACCCTTCGGCCACAGGTACTGTCCTTTGATTGGCCGAGATTACCAAAAGCTGCTCTACCACAGCAGCATCCGATTTTAAAATGTGATATGCACAGAGCCACTGATGTACTGTGCCAGGGGCAATGTTGTGAGAAAAGGGTGTGAAAATTGTCATTAAAAGCTGACAGTGAATGTGTAATCACACATGGTGATATAGTGAATGAAAGATTGGGAGAGCTTTGTCAAATCATTTTCAGGAAACTGCCCAATTTTTACCATAATTCCCTACTATTGTTGCTCACTCAGTCTTAAAGAATTTTTTATCTGTGGACCATCTTGGCTTGACCGTTCAAAGTCATCATGTTTTTTCGTCCTTCGCCTTCAAATGGACAGGTGATCGTTTTCACCAGTCAGCAAGCCGACGGCCTGAGTACTCGCTTCAACCAGCAAACCCTCAGTCTGAATGCCATTGTATCAGGCCTGGGGATCACCGCAGGAGGCACACTAACTCTCTCCAACATCCCTGCTACGCTCAACCTGCTAGGCCAGTCTTGCAGCAGCGTGCCGTATGTCTGCATAGAGGTTCAGAAGGGGAGTAACCCCTCCCCTGATTTTGTCTTGACGGGGTCACTCATCGCATGCCAGCCAACCAACTGCTTAGGTAGGTTTTAGGCCTTCAACAGGTCTCTAGATTATCCAGTATCCAACTAAAAATAATGGCAAACTGGGTCCGTTTTTCCTGTTTTATAACCAGAAGGCTTTGCATTTCCTGAAACAACATTTTTTAGAATCTTTTAAAGGCCTGTGCTTCAAAAATGGCTCTGGTGACTCATGGCTCATTTACATAGGTTAGGTCACACATGATACATTGATGCATTGTTGGTTTGGGCAACAATCCAGGTGTTCAAATTGTCAACACCCAGCTGAGAGTGGTGTCCACCAGCAACGTCAGAGAACGCAGCTCTAGCAACTCCTTGACCCTTGACCTCATTATCACCGCTAGCCTCAATGGTGGCAGCGTGTCTGGTAGCCGCCTCTGGCGACTGACGGCATTCCTCAGCACCCTGCCAGATGGCTCCGGTGTCCAGTACTCCCCAACATTCATCCAGCTCTCGGATGCTCAGGCGGGTACCAGCCTTCAAGCCGGTCTCACCTCCACCATTTCGTCCCTGCAAACTAACGCCAACACTGCAAGCAACAACCTGATCTGCGGTCAGTTTGGCTACATTTGTGTCCGTCTGGAGAAAGGATTAAACCCATCTGTCGATTTCCAGTTAGGCGATGGCACTCAGTCTTATGTGGCTTGTGCTCCTGTTAACTGCCGAGGTATGAAATTATTCCTAATGGACCGACTCTTGAAAACATCAGACTTGAGGCCTAAATTAGATATTATAAATATGATGCATTCGTGTAAATGAATTTTGAACAGTAAGAATATATGAAAGTGTCCTTTAAATTAGTATTCACACCTTTTATGAATCGGTGTGAAAAACTACTTGTGATGAAACTGCCGGTCATTTTATCGAGAAGTTGAAAATGTGTTGATTTGCTTGTGAAAACGTGCTGCAATTTACAGCCTATTTGCAGAGCAAAATCTGTCGCAGACATTTGCAATGTAATTCATGCCCCTTTTGTAGGTGTTGAGATCACTGACGTGGTGGCGACCATCTTATCCGGCGAACCTGTCAACACGGAGACCACCAACAACATTCTTACCTTCAATGTCCAGGTCTCATCTGCTGTGGCAGGGGCCAGCGTGAGTGGTACCAACCTTTGGCAGGTGATCATCTTCTCGGACACCCAGGTGAGTCTTTGTGAGGATTGAGTATTTCATCAGTGACTGTGAACTCTAGACCTTGGAAAAACCAATTTCACTGCTGGAGGCCACAATTTATAGTTTGTGATTGAGTAAGAAGACAGGGCCAAAGTGACAAAATGTAACTTGGGCAAAACTTTGGATGCAGTGTGTTTGCAAACACAGATCATTTCTGTGTGATTGTACCAGCTTGTTAAAATCAACAAATAGCTCAAGATTGCCTGTTTTTTTATGGTCACCACAAGAAGTTCACAATTTCTTATTTAGCATAAATCTGAGACAATTGAAAAGTACCAAAACGTTTTGCGTATTGCATAGACTTCCATTTTCAGGTTTTTAACTGAAGTTTAATAATTCAAGCAATTTTCTATTTCTTAGCAAAAAAGCTGCCTTTTCAATTTGAACATGGTTGAAAGATGTGTATTAACTGATGTGGATGATTCCCAACTTACCATCAATTGACCGTGATTAGAATGTCCTATCATCTTGCAGCTGAACGGTCAAGGCCTGACAGTCATCCAGATGCAGGCCGTTCTCCCTGGCAACACGGCTAGTACCTTCCTGCAAGCGGGAGTGGACATGATCCTACGCAACATTCAGGTCACCCTTGACCTGACGCAAATCTCCTGTAACCAGATTCCCTACATCTGCGTCCGTCTCCTGAAGTCATCCAACCCGAGCCCTAACCCCGATTTCACCTTCACTGCCGTCCCTTCGGAGGATGTCCTGCTTCATTGTCAGCCTCTTGATTGCATGGGTAAGTTTATGTTTGCTTCTTTTACATTCTCCGTTGAATGCATAATTCATCAAGATAACCCTGACACAGGTTGGATAACTGATCCATCTTCCTCATCTTGCTAACATGAGCAATTTTGCAGCAGTGTGATATAAAAGTGAATTTGCAACTGCTCCTGACAATTTTCATTTTTACGATCCAACTGCAGTAACATTTACTTGAATACACAGAGTGTTCACTTTATCTGAGTCCTCCAAGTTTTGGTGCACTGTTAAACTCGACATGTTGTCCTTGCTTTCACTGCTCATGAGAGATGTACTGAAATTCAACACTGAGATATTGTTGGATGTATTTTGCAGATCCGTCACCGTGTATTGGCAATCTTTGTGAGAATGGTGCCCAGTGTACTGCCCTAGGTTCTGGTAGCTACCGATGTGAGTGTACGCCAGGTTGGACTGGTTTATACTGCAATGTAGGTAAGTACAAGGAAAAAATTAGAAAAATGCTGAAGTTAATTCAGAATCGACTTTGGTGGTAAAGCATTCGGTAAAAGTAGACATCTGAATTTGCAGCTCAAGTCAAATTCAGATCATCTTGGACTTGCAGTCTGACTTCTGGCACCTTTCCATATGTACGTTTTTGGGGTGCGTTACGTGTACGATGCGTCATTTCACTTTCACGGACACAAACATCGAGTCCATTAATATAACACACGTTTGTGTTGTGTTCAGCCGTTAAAATCACCCCGCGAGCAATGTTGACGGATATGCAACATTTGGTGCAAGTGTTGACGTGCATATGGAAAGGCGCCTTTAATCCTTTTATCTTCTGAATGCTAATGGGAAAGCAAAACAAATCAGGCCCAAATGTGTCAGTTTGGAGTATAGTGGTTGTTTTTTTGTGGTTTTTGTTTCAATTCTGTGGCAAAAGGGGACTGCACCAACATGATGAAATCTGAAAAGCTGATATTTCAGTTGTCATGGAGAGAAACAACATCACATCGAGTTTGTTAGACAGAGACTTTAAGTGCAGGAATTCAACCAACTTATCTGAGCAGTTTCATGAAGACACTGAATGCTGCCTCACAAATAGTGTCACTGTTTCCCCCCCCTTTTCATCCTGATGCCACACCCTCCTATGCCACCCCTTCTGTTGTGTATGAAATTCTCACGGATGTATTTTAAATTCCCTTAACGAGCTCATATATCTTCCTTTGTTGCAGAGCTTCAAATTAATACTTCTCTCGTCCAACGAAAAGTTGTTTTGTGTGTCTAAAAGTGTTCATTTATGACATAACTTTACCTCTGGGATCACCTAACATGTACACGTACCTTCATCTTGCGCATTTGTTGCCAAACTGTATTGTCCAAGTAGTTATGTCTGTTAATGTTTGTTGAAGTATAGTCATTGTAGACTACTTGTACTCACAAATGAGGGCGCTATTTATTCGAGATGGGCAAGCAGAAGGCACTGATTTTTAGCTTTGTTTTTTCAGCTGAGTAGAAGCTGTGCATAAAGGACCTGACCATGTTTAACCCTAACACTCCTCAGTCCTCCAACAGGTGAAGGATTGAGGAGTGTTAGGGTTAATAATGCAGGACTGTATAACGTTGATATTGGGGTATAAGATATATCCTAATACTATAATACAGTTGCAATTCCAGCCACCTAAGGGCCCATTGCCCAGCCGTACAGACCTATTTAAAGTTCACTGAATAGCCACTGGCTGTTTTACTGCCTTAGACCAGGTGTGTAGCCATAGGCTCATGTAAAAGCCATTGGCAAGGTGTTTAGCCATTGGCCCAAGTGAAAGCCATAGGCCCATAGAATACTCAAGTGTAACTTCATTTGAACCAGTAAGTGCTGTGCAAACTAATGGATTACGCATACATGTTGGTTCACTCACTGGTTCTCGTGCTAATGCCTTTTACACATGAAACTGTGCACGTGATGTATTCACTTTGGTACCCTTTGACAAAGCCGTAGGCCCACTTCATAGCATAGAGGCCCATTACATGGCCACTGGCTAACAGCTCAGCCACAGCCCTAGCGCATGGCATTAGATGCCTCAGGCTATGCATATCCACTTCACTTGCCTTTGCAAAAAATCACCCCGACAATCCCAGTGGCTGGTCCATTTTTTTTTATTGGTCTGTGCACGGAGTTTGCATCCCAACCTATTGTCACCAGCCATTTTTACATATACCCTCCCCTGCTCTACAGTTGCCGACTACTGTCTGATCACGCAAACGCCTTGTTTTAATGGCGGACAGTGCGTCAGCTTGTCGGATCGCTACCAGTGCATCTGCCCACAGGCGTGGGTTGGCACACGATGTCAAACAGGTACTGCTAAGATCTCTGGAGATTCATCACTTGCTTTCATTCATTACTTTCACAGCATCATCCACAACATAAATTCATATGGGGTATTCCATTTCATTTTTGCATTGATTTGTTAAACTCCTTCATCTATAATAACTTCAAACTTTTCATTTCATTAAGTTTGTTTTCTGGTATTATTAAGATTTTATTTTTCACCAAATGCTGCAGCTGTACAATTTCCTTATTCCTGTTTTTCATTCCATCATCATGGCAGTTTTCCATTTTCTCTTGCAGTTTTCTTCAATCAATGTAGTTTTCCATTCTTTCATTCCCATCTTCCATTCCACCACAGCTGTGTTCCATTCCACCACAGCTGT